TATTCGTAAGGAAAAGCTTGCACCCATACTCATCTTTTATTAATTGCTATTACTTAATCTACAAAAGCACCCAACTCATTCAAAATATTTTCTTTTTCTCTAACTGAAATCGATGTATTTTTGACTTGCTATTAAAAACTTTGAAGTCCAATCCCTAAGGATGATATCTTAGTATTTGTCACAATCTTGGATATTCAATGGACAAATGAGTATGGTCAAACTTAGGATCAAAGCTACCAACAATGACCATCCGCGGTGGCTATTGCCCAAGGGAGGTGGTGGCATCCAAATCCCACCACCTATTACCCAAGATTTTCACGTATTATATACCAAAACCATTATATATATAGACTTGAGATCATGTGAAACCAATGGTTTTTTTTTCGTGAGTCCCGTAAGACCAATTATCAACCATTGGATTAGATCTATAATCTGACAATCTAAACATTTATAAATGCCACGAGATTTCTCAATAATCACAAAATTGTCACCGTGCAATTTAGACCGTTTGATCATTAACTTATAAAGTTGATCAATAAACATAAATTGGTCTTACGGGTCTCACGAAAAACCCTTAGTCTCACGTGAACCCAACCATATATATATATATATATATATATATATATATATATAATAATAATAATGACTTATTTTCATCAAGTGGATTACAATGATATAATTGTTTGGTGAAGACCCCTCAAAAGCCACCGCACAAGTTACAAAGGTTGACATGATCAGTCCGTTGTGATATCGATAATCGAGTTATAGAGAGAAGATTAAAAATATGGACTGTTTTGCAGGAAGTTAAAGGAAGACAGATTGTATGAAATGACCAAATCGAACCAACGATTATGACAAACTGAGTCTATGGTTTAGTAGAAATTTGAAATAGGTCGGTTAGAATTAAGTTTTAAATTAAATCATTTGATGTTCCGTAAATATTGTAACGTTTTCTTATTAGACTACATTTATTAACTAATCATATTTATTTGATCTCCTAATGTTTATGTTCAGACCATGCTAAACAAATATTTTATTTAACTATTAGTTAACCGTTAAAAATTATAATTTAAATAGAAATATTCTTTATATTAATTAAAACACGTCAATAATAAATTATAAATTAACAAAATAACAATCAATAGTTGAAAATACAAAGTGGGTAACATGTTTGGTCAACTAAAACCAACATGTTATGACACATGTATTATAATTTATAAACTAAATTCAACACATTTCTAAATATATATAATAAATAATGATAAAAACAAACAAATTCAAAATATTTTAAAATCATGTAGCAATAATTTCATATATTTTATTGTTATTATTTCAAAGTTAAAGTCACATATATATAATCAATGCTATAATACAATAGTATTATATTTCTATGTTATATTGTTGTTCTATTTTATTTACCAAAAAAAATGGTAGCTATGATGTTCAAACAAGTAGTTGAGTGCTTATTATAGGTGTCACACTGAAATAAGCCAATAAGTTGTTTTTATAAGCAATCCCAAAACACTCCTTTAATATCATGGTTCAAGAGTTTTTGGGTTTAAATATGTATCGTAAATGAACACATTTTAAGTAATATGTTATAATGCAATTATGTCATTTAAGATGTTGTGTGGGTTGCATAAGGTTCATACACATGTTGAAGGCTAAAACTAGTTAAGATAAATTAGATCCTCCTAACTAGTTCACATTTTTTTTTATTGGAGGACTGGAATTGGTATAAGAAGACCACGACAGTGGTGTCGGGGCGAATCGTTAGAGTATTCAAATTTTTATAAGTAAAAAGTGGGGGGTTTTGTATGTGACTACTATAGAGTGGGTTCTTATCATTCATCAACATATTTTGAGTTTTTATGCAAGAACATGTGTTCTTACCACGTTTTGGTGTGATTTTATAGCTTGTAATGTTTCTATTTGTTTCAGTAGATTTACTTATAAAAGATTAATAGAAGTTGAACGTGAAAAATATAAAAAATCCAGAAAAAAAGTTTACGATGGTTTTTTGAGGTTCTTATTTTATGGATGTACAAAATAAACAACATAGTATGATAATCTTTAAATTGGTTATAATGTTTTGAAACTGACATATCCAGATTCATTAATTCGATCCTTTTAGAACATCTCCTACATCTACCATAAAATAAAATAAAAAATTCAGTTCCCGTTTGGTTTGTAAGATTGGATTGAATTTGACGGGATTTAGAATTGAATTTTATTCCAATCCCATGTTTGGTTTAAAGGATTTCTTGAATTTGAAATCTTAGGTGGCGTTTGGTTCGCAGATTCTTGAGGAATCTGAAGGAATTGGAATGTTGAATTCCTTTGACCAGATTCATTTTCTTCGTTTGGTTCATTCTTTTTAGCTGAAGGAATCTTCAGATTCCTATGAATTCCATGGATAAAAGATTTTAACATTCTTTAACAACTACATGATATTTTGATGGAATGAAATCTCTATCTTCATTATACCAAATATGCCCTTAACCTAATATATTATAATCTCATAAAATTCAATATGACCATCGTCGACCACATCTCGACCACTATTGATTTGAACCACCGCCGACCACCACCACCGACTACCATCGATCTGAACCACCACCACCACCGAATGCCACCCATCTGAACCACTGCCAACCACCACCACTGATCTGAACCACCATCGACCACCACCAATCTGAACCACCGTCGACCACCACCACCACCGACTACCACCGGTCTAAACCACCGACTACCACCGCTCTAAACCACCGCCGACCACCATCACCGCTGATTACCACCGATCTGAACCACATCGACCACCATTGATCTGAGCCATCGCCGACCACCACCACCGACTACCACCAATCTGAACCACCGTCGATCTGAGCCACCACTGATTTAATTCACCGTCAATCTGAACCATCGCCGATAACCGCCATCTAAACCACCATGTACCACCACCGATCTAAACCACGCTGACCACCACCACCGACTACCACCGATCTGAACCATCGTCGACTACCACCGATTTAAACCACCGTCGACCACCACCACCGACTACCATCGATTTGAAATACCATCGACCACCANACCACCGATCTGAACCATCGTCGACTACCACCGATTTAAACCACCGTCGACCACCACCACCGACTACCATCGATTTGAAATACCATCGACCACCACCACCGACTACCACCGATCTGAGCACCACTGATCTGATTCATCGTCAATCTGAACCTCCGACGATAATCGCCATCTGAACCACCATGGACCACCACCAACTACCACCGATTTGAAATACCGTCGACCACCACCACCACCGACTACCACCGATCTGAGCACCACTGATCTGATTCACCGTTAATCTGATTCACCGTTAATCTGAACCTCCGACGATAACCGCCATCTGAACCACCATGGACCACCACTGATCTGAACCACTGTCGACCATCGTCATCTGAACCACCACGGACCACCANGAACCTCCGACGATAACCGCCATCTGAACCACCATGGACCACCACTGATCTGAACCACTGTCGACCATCGTCATCTGAACCACCACGGACCACCATCGATCTGAACCACCGCCAACTACTACCGATCTAAAACACCGTCAATCTAAACCACCATTGACCATCACCTGATATGATACATCGCCGATCTGAACCACATCTGACCATCGTCACTTGAACCACAACGGACCATCATCGATCTATATCACTGCCAACTACCGACGACTACCATTGATCTGAATCACCGTCAAACACCGTCGGACACCGCCGACCACCACCAATTTGAACAACCACCGCCGCTACGGCCTATCTAAACCACCGCTGACCACTTCCATCAGAACCACTGCGGACCACCATCGATCTGAATCACTACGAACCACCACCATCTGAACCACTATGGACCACCACCGATCTGAACCACCGCTGACCACCGTCGATTTAGTAACGTCGTTTGGTTTATGATTATATTTGGGTTGTGCATATTAAATAATTATTTTATTGAAGTATTTTTTGTTTTAAAAAAATTAAAATTTTCCAAAAAAGGCATTTTGGTCATTTACACAAATTTTATTACAATTCTAAAGCTACATTCTGTAAACCAAACAGAAAGATTCTAATTCCTTAACAGATTTCATTCCAAAGTCTGCCAACCAAACAAGTGGTCAAACCTGACAACATTCCATTCCAATTCCTTGAAAATCAAATTTCTTTAACAGATTCCATTCCATCCAAAAACATTCTGCGAACCAAACGCCACCTTAGGTTTTAGTTGAAATCTCACAATCATAAGATTTTGAAATCCCATGAAGGTGGTTGGTATTTTACGGAATTTCGAAGAATTCTTATATAATAATGTTTTAAATATATAAAATACATATTTTTTGTAATGATTAATTAACAAAATTAATTTAATTATTTATAATTTGTTTGCATATATTATTTATAAAGAATGAAATTCAATTTTATTTCAAATACTACAAATTAAACAAACCAAAGATTCCAAACCCAAATGACCAAATCCTTCCAATTTCAAATTCTTCCACGAAATCCAAATCCCTCAAACCAAACGCACCATTCATATAGAGTAATGAATTTCTTTATCTCATATTGCATGATAGAAGTTAAAATAGACATTTAAAAAAAATAGAAATCTTAATTTTATAACAAATAAAAATATAGAAAAAATTAACAATTTCTAGATGTGTTCTACATTTTTTTTTATTAACCTGGATATCCAACCCACTGTGCGAGCCGACTAATCCCAAGACGACCACCTGCTTTGCAGATAATCCGAAGTCATCGCATTTAAACCTCCATGACCACAAAAAGATTTTTATTTCTCCTTAGATTTTTTTTATTAAATCTATTCTACATTATGATCAGCTGCCATATATGTTTAATTAAAAAAAAAAGGCTCTTCCTCCTCCACCATATAACAAAGACTCCAATTGGATCTCCACTGCAGCACCGGAGTAAACCAGACAACTTTCACAAATGGCATCTCCAATAAAAACAGTCGTCATCCTGGTTCAAGAAAACAGATCTTTCGATCACATGTTAGGATGGATGAAAACCATCAACTCCGACATCGATGGTGTCACCGGCAAAGAATCCAACCTCTTGTCCACCGCCGACCACCACTCCCTACGCCTCTACCACACTAACAAGGCTGGATTCATTCAACCTGACCCTGGTCACTCTTTTGAAGCCACATATGAACAAATCTTTGGTGCAGAATGGTCCGAGTCTGCTAGCCATGGTCTAACCCCTACCATGAATGGGTTCGCCCAACAAGCCGAAAAGGTGCAACAAGGCTTGTCCGAGGTCGTCATGACTGGGTTCGACCCCGATTCTCTACCTGTTTACAAAGAGTTGGTTTCCGAGTTTGCTGTTTGCGATAGGTGGTTTTCGTCCATTCCCACTTTGACCCAACCCAACAGGTTCGTGTTCATTCGTTTGTAAAGAATCATTCATTTGATTTTACCAAGTTAAACATAAATGTATATATATATATATATATATATATATATATATATATATATATATATATATATATATATATAACCAGACTTAATTAGAGCCTGTTTGTTAACGAACTTAATGTGACTCATGGTTCAATCAGCTATACAAGACTATTTAATAGCTGCTTAATGATTTCTTACTTTTGTCATGTTAATTATGATACAGATTGTATGTGCATTCAGCGACTTCATATGGTGCTACCACAAACGACAACAAGGATTTGATCGAAGGGTACCCACAAAAGACCATATTTGAATCGGTGGAGGAGGGCGGCTTTTCTTTTGGAATTTACTACCAGTTACCTCCCACAACTCTTTTTTACAGGTAATTTTAGGATCGAACAACTTTATAATTGATCAGTAAATTAAGAGGCCGTTTACCTAAACACTCACCCGGTGAGCACTTACCGGTAAAATTCAACACTATCATTTACTTATCGGGTAAGATTTTATTCACTAAAACGCATCGTATGCAACAATTTATTCCAGTAAGCACTAACCATGGTAAGAATCCTCGTCCTCACTTACCGGGTAAAACTCTCAATTTTTGCCTTCGTTCTTATCGGATAAGATTTTTAGTCCTCAGCATATTCATTCAGTAAAGTAAAATGACTTGATAAAAACTTACTCGGGTACGCTACAACTAAAGAATTTAAATTATCAGCATTGATTACTAAATACCTTTTTTTTTGGCATAGCATATGATGAGTGATTATAACAGATAGTCTCGTAATTTTGACCCTACTAGCTTTTTCTTTTGCTTTTTGTAAATAAGATATAATTAAAAAAGTGAATTACACCGGTGGTCCTTGTGGTTTATTTAAATTTTGGATTTGATCTTTAAAACAAATTATTTACATAAATAGTCCATAACTTTTTAATTTTATAACACCATGGGTTTTGTATTTAACACCGACCGTTATGAAGGACAAATCAATTTTTGGACAAATTATAAGGATCAAAAGTGTAATTCACTATAAAATTTACTTATTCACGTCTTTTTTCCAATTATTTTTATTAAAAAATATTTTGTATATTCA